GGCGCCTTAGCCGGTTGAGCTATAGGCGCCGAGCCAACTGTGAGTTATTTTCTAAACTAGTTCCTCTAATTCTGATTATATTAGATTTTAATTATTCATACTCATGTTTTTCTTTCCAGTCAAGATTTAAAACTAGCTTGAGACTGTGTATTCAGAGTTACAGCCATAATCTTAATAAGAGAGTCAATTCTGAAACCATTAGGTGATTGCTTCATTAGAAGTAACCCTTGTCATCAGTTGGCAGTGTTGGATAGCTTATCACTCATATCCCTCTGGCTTGTTGACATTTTGCTTCCCCTCACTGCTTCTATGTCATGAAGATATCTTTTGTAAGAGAATTGGTTTGCCATCTGTAATCATTCAGATACGTTGCTAATTGGAAGTGAATAATTTAATACCATATGATGATTCAGAATCTGAAGCTATTTAGTTCACAGCACCTCAGGGGTAGAGGGTTGTTGCCTGTCTATGAATGTTGTTTTCCTTGGATGATTATCACTAGTTATTCATGATTTACATGGAAGTTCTACCTAACTTCTTTGCTCTACTCCCTGCCCCATGCTGGTCCACATTTGCAGGGTGATGATGAACCAGAGATCCCCATAGATGGAACAGAATTATCCCACTACCGTCAGCGTGCCCTCCTGCAATCACAGCCAGTTCGACGGACGCCTCTCCTCCACAATTTCCTGCACATGCTGTCCTCCCGCTCCTCTGGCATCCAGGTGGGAGAGCAAAGTACAGTGCAAGATTCTGCTACCCCCTCACCCCCACCGCCTCCCCCTCAGTCCTCCATGGAGCGCCCCAGGACTTCCGCTTACATCAGGCTCCGACAGCGGGTCAGTTACCCCACAGCTGAGTGCTGCCAGCACCTTGGGATCCTGTGCCTGTGCAGCCGCTGCTCTGGCACTCGAGCTCCTTCCCTCTTGCCACACCAGGACAGTGTCCCCCCTGCTTCTGCCAGAGCTACTACCCCTTCCTTTTCTTTTGTGCAGACCGAGCCCTTCCATCCCCCGGAGCAGGCCTCGTCAACTCAGCAGGACCAGGGCCTCCTGAACCGGCCGTCTGCCTTCAGTACAGTCCAGAGCAGCACAGCCGGCAACACACTCCGCAACCTCAGTCTGGGTCCCACCCGTCGCTCTTTGGGAGGCTCTCTGTCTAGTCACCCTTCTAGGTATCACCGAGAAATAGCTCCTGGGCTGACAGGATCTGAATGGACCCGGACAGTACTCAGTCTTAATTCTCGCTCGGAGGCGGAATCCATGCCCCCACCCAGGACCAGTGCCTCTTCAGTGAGTTTGCTGTCCGTGCTGAGACAGCAAGAAGGTGGCTCTCAGGCATCTGTGTATACGTCAGCCACAGAAGGGAGGGGTTTTCCAGCATCAGGGTTTGCAGCTGAGTCAGATGGAGGGAATGGCTCCAGCCAAAACAACTCAGGCGGCATTCGCCATGAGCTTCAGTGTGACTTGAGACGCTTCTTTTTGGAGTATGACCGGCTTCAGGAGCTGGATCAGAGCTTGAGTGGGGAAGCTTCCCAGAGCCAGCAGGCCCAGGAAATGCTCAACAATAACATTGAATCTGAGAGGCCAGGCCCTTCACACCAGCCCACTCCGCACAGCAGTGAGAACAACTCTAATCTTTCCCGTGGCCACCTGAATCGCTGCCGGGCTTGCCACAATCTCCTGACCTTCAACAACGATACTTTGCGCTGGGAAAGAACCGCACCTAACTACTCCTCTGGTGAGGCTAGCTCCTCCTGGCAGGTCCCCAGTACCTTTGAGGGTATGCCATCAAGTGGCAGCCAGTTGCCACCTCTTGAGCGGACTGAGGGCCAAACATCCAGCTCCAGCAGGCTGGAGTTGAGCAGCTCTGCTAGCCCACAGGAAGAGAGGACTGTGGGGGTGGCCTTTAACCAAGAGACAGGCCACTGGGAAAGAATTTATACCCAGTCCAGCAGATCTGGAACTGTATCACAGGAGGCCTTACATCAGGATATGCCTGAGGAAAGCTCTGAGGAAGATTCACTCAGGAGGTAAGCAGTTGCCTTCCTATCTTCTCCTGCGTTCCTTGCTTTTCTCCTTGTATCTATTCCTTTAGTCCTGTAAATACTGTGGCTGTATCTGAAGTGTTTGGGAGCCAACCTTCTGGTTCTGATCTCCCCATGCATGTTCTTGGAAAGTCTTGCTCTGGTGGCAGAGATACAATAGGGCCAGTAGTATGCGTCAGTTGGCTGTGGTAACTCTATTTCTGGCTAAGCCCAAAGGTGAAGGGAGAGTGTAGATTAGGTTAAAGAGGCATAAGGAGAATAGAACCATTGACTTTTTCTGCTGTGCTTTTTGACCTTCTTGAAGGATTGCATGTGCAGGACAAGTTACTGTGAGACAAAAAATATCCCAGAGTACATAGGAATAACTAAAAGAGAACCCTGCTTGGTACAGATTAGTATGTTGACTTTGCCTTGCCAATTGTGTGGCTGGTTTGGGCAACTGTATTTACCTTTTAATTCTTACCTTTTGGAACACTGAAGCTTGACCAAAAAAATAAAAAAAGTGTATGTGCATATATATATATGTATATATACATGTGTATATATGTATGTATATTAAGGAAAGTTCCAGTTATTTTATTTTAGAGATATATGTTTTTGGACAGAACATTATTTGCTCAGTAAACATTCTTTGAATGGCCTTCCCAGATAGACGTATACCTTGGGGTGAGGAAGAAGAAGACTTCATGGAAGGAAGGCCTTTCCATACTCGGATTGGCATCCCAGCCAACTCTTTCATGGAAGAAACAGAGTGGGTGTAGTTGATCGCCCACCACAAGTTCCATGTATGGCTGTGTGCACATCTATCTTTATTTATTAGGGACTTCTTTCTGTAATTTTGTAAAGGTCAAATCTAGCGTAATCACCAACTCCCAGAATATGCCTGTTGGATCCAAACAGCATATTGCTCTGCATTACATCCTCTGTTGAAGTAATTGAAATTTCTCTTGACATAAGCTTCTAACAAGGGTGGGAATATGGCTTGTGCACATAATGTACTTCTTATTTTGGGAGGATGCTAGTTTAGACAGTCACTCAGTCAATAAGTGTTAGTTGAATGGTTACAGTTTTTTCAGCACTGGCAAGCACTGTGGAGAATACAGAAGTGTCTTTGCCCACTGGAGTATCCAGTATTAGCTTTGAGGCAAGACTTATTTACATGAAATTTATCAAAAGTATAGATGATCAAATGTTTCCTTGTATGATACAGAGATTTAATGTAGTCTGATTTCAAAGAAAGGGAAATGTCATCAGGAAAGGCTTTATAAAATCAAGTCTCGAAAGATGGGTAGGATCTGGATAAGGAAGGACCTTTTTACTAGAGAGGAATAGCCCATAGTAAGGGAGGGAAGGATATGGTGTGTATATAGGATGGTAGGCAGTTCTAGGGGCCAGGGATGCAGAACAACGGGAGACTTGGCTGGATGTGAAAGGTAGACAAAGGAGAGAGGTTGTTACTATGTCCATATGCTTGAGACCAGTTCTGGACTAACAGTTCCTAAATTCCTGGTTTTGGACTATCTTGTCTTACTTAATGGTATACACCAAGGACCTGGGACTCTGCTGGGTGCCGTGGCTCATGCCTGTAATCCCAACACTGTGGGAGGCTGAGGAGGGAGAATTGCTTGAGCTCAGGAGTTCGAGACTTGCCTGAGGGACAGTGAGACCCTGACTCATAGAAAAATGAACCCCACCCCTAACAGAACAACAACAAAAAAAAGAAAAATGAAAAACCCAGCTGAGTGCTGCTGTGAGCACCTGTAATCCCAGTGGCTTCCTGAGGTTGAGGCAGCAGGATGCCCACAGCTGGAGTCTGAGGTTGCAGTGAGCTATGGCACCATTGCACTTTGCTCAGGGCATAGGGTGGGACTCTGTCTCAACAACAACAAGAACAAAAGAATCTGGGACTCTGTTCTTTTTTGGTTTTTTTTACTGAGTCAGAGTCTCACTTTGTCACCCTTGGAAGAGTGCCTTGGCGTCATAGCTCACAGCAACCTCAAACTCTTGGGCTTGAGTGATTCTCTTGCCTCAGCCTCTCTAGTAGCTGGGACTACAGGTGCCAGTCACAATGCCTGGCTTTTTTGCTTGTTTGTTTAGCAGGCGCAGCCTGGGTTCAAACCCACCAGCCCTGGAGCATGTGGCTGATGCCCTAACCACTGAGTTATGGATGTCCAGTCTGTTCTTCTTTAAAAGAGGTGAAAAGGCAGCCAGCACAGTGCCTCTCATGTAGTTAAGTGCTTAAAAAGTTTATTAAAAAAAACAAAACAAACTAAAGTTTATTAAATATTGGTAACAGGCAGTGAAAGAAAGAAGAAAAAAAATTATTAAGGTTAGCCTTAAGGCTGGGTTTGGTGGCTAATGCCTGTAATCCTAGCACTCTGGGAGGCTGGGGAGGGTGGATTGCCTGAGCTCTGAGTCTGAGACCAGCCTGAGCCAGAATGAGACCTCATCTCTAAAAATAGCCAGGTGTTGTGGTGGGCGCCTGTAGTCCCAGCTACTTGGGAGGCTGAGGCAAGAGAATTGCTTGAGCCCAAGAGTTTGAGGTTGCT